CCAGATGGAGAGAACAAATCCATGGTTATTAGATGGGGGAGGGGGAGGGGGAAGGGGAGAGACTGGATAAGGGGCATAAAGAATGATTTGTAACAATTAATACGCTAATGAAAAGTAAAGTGCAGATAGGTCAATTTTTATGTAACAAAGTACAAAAAGTGCACCAATATGGTTTCAGATTCCACATTACAATAATCTTTAAGTGACCATCACTTATTGAGTTTTAGTGAAATAACAAAGAAAAAATATCCACAGTTATCTGGAAATGATATTAAAGTATTCCTCCTACCTTTCCAACTACATTCTGTGTGAGGCTGGATTTTCATCATATACATATTTCAACTAAAACAAAATATCACAATAGACTGAATACAAAAGCAAGTAGAGACAACAATCCAGCTGCCTTCTATTAAGTTGGACATGAGATTTTCAAAAACATAAAACCATGCCAGTCTTCTCAATTTTTTTTTTTTCCTTTTTGTCTTTTTTCGTGACCAGTAATGGGATCGCAACCCTTGGTGTTGCGCCCGTACCGCGACCGGCAACGGGATCACAACCCTTGGTGTTGCGCCTGCACCGCGCTCAACCAGTGAGCGGACCGGTCTCTATATGGGATCCGAACCCTCGGCGGGAGCGCCGCCGCACTCCCAGGCGCCACACTCTACCGAGTGCACCACCAGGCCGGCCCTCAATTTTTTTAATAATACAATTATTTTTCATAAAGATGTTATTTAGGGCCGGCTCGTGGCTCACTTGGGAGAGTGTGGTGCTGATAACACCAAGGCCATGGGTTCAGATCCCTATATTGGGATGGCTGGGTAACTCACTTATGAGAGTGTGGTGCTGACAATACCAAGTCAAGGGTTAAGATCCCCTTACCGGTCATCTCTTTTATAAATTAAAAAAAAAAAAAAAAAAAGAAAGAAAGAAAATGTTATTTATCTTACCATGTAATGAGTTTGTTATTGTTATTTAAATAAAATAAGTAGTTTTAGAATTTCTCAGTTTTAATTTCTAATACAGTAAATATTCAAAGATATAGCCTACATAAACAAAAGCTGTTAGAGGTCCTCAGTAAGTTTTAAGACAGTAAAGGGATTCTGAAACGGAACAGTTTGAGAACTGCTGGCACAGGCATTATAATACACACCAAATATGAGGGTACTTCAAAAAGTTCATGGAAAAACAGAATTAAAAGATAATTAATCCATGAACTTTTTGAAGTACCCTCATATATATTTAACCAAAATTGTTAAATATTATTTTGGGAAGCTAGAAGAGAAGCAGAGCTCATCAAAATGGTCAGTAAGACAGAAGTGTGTTCTAAGATACCTGCCAGAGATAAATGATAAACATAAACCTCATTTCATTCTAAACTGTAATATCTGTCTTCCTTACTAACCCATGACCTCCTTAAACCAGAGACGCTGCCTTCTTCACCTCTGTAACACCACAAGGCCTCATCACAGCTTGTATTATATAGCAAATATTTAATAATTATTTGAGTCAATTAACGAATAAATAAGATAACCCAATTCACAAAATTAGGTCATATTGCAGCAAACAGCTCTTTCTTCCATTTTAAAAACCTATACTGCAGCATGGGAAAGTCATGTTTGAAGTAAGAATGAGAGATCATCCAGCAGATTCTTAAGTCAGTGATTTTATGACTCCTTGACCACCACTTATCACGTAATACACAGGAAACCACATATGTATAAAGGTATACGTATCCATATCTATCTGTCATGTATGTTTATTAGCCATTTCTTTTCTTAATTATTATAACTTACAGCAAGCACTCTTGAATCCCAATAACATCAAGATTTTTTTCTGCCCTTTTCCCCCTCTTCATCTCTGTTGACTTCTATGACTTTTGGTCCCTCTGGATTACACATTGTTTTTGTTACCATCAGCCATCTTCAGTTTAGCACAACCCACAAAACACCCCTAGCAATTCCCAGAACCTAGAGAGAAAGTAGAGAAAAATAATCTTACCAATAGTATGATTTCCATAAAGGAGCTGCTCCAAAATTGCAGTTTTCCCCACAGATAACAATCCACAAACCACAACCTTGCAGCCCTTTCCCATCTTCTCTCAGGATATCACTGTGAAGAGAAGAGAAGGTCTTTAAAATTGTATACCGTTGAAATCAACCTTTTCTTTTCCTTTTAATGTTTAAATTTAATAAGTAATAAATACATACGGGGAAATTTTAAACATAAAAAAGGACATATTGAATAAAGTATATCTTTCCTTTTTATTTTTATTTTTGGCAGCTGGCTGGTATGGGGATCCAAACCTGTGACCTTGGTGTTATATGGCTATGCTCTAACCAAGTGAGCTAACCAATCAGCCCTGAATAAGGTATATCTTCCTAAACCCCATCCACCAGTCTCCCATTTGGTCCCTCAGAGCAATCAGTGTTACCAGTTTCTTATATATCATCACAGAAGTAATCTAGACAAACATAAGAATATATGGATAGATATGAATGTTTGTTTTCAAAAAGAATAAACACATTCTATACAAAGAATATTTCAATACTGGTTAAGTCCATAGGAATCCAATAGAATCTCAGATAAAACCAGTCTTTGAAAGAGACTGCCTATGTATTGATACTTACCTGAAAAAAATAAACATTTGAGTAAAAATTCAAGGAGGCATGAAGATAAAATTTTTGGATAGAGAATAGACATGGTTTTTTAAAGACACATTAATGCAATTAATACTGTCAGTCTTTTCTCAGGAATGAGAAACTGGATTTGGGTAGTCACATGGGCTCTCTTAGTCATACTCCTTTTTGAGAATAGAAAATGCTACAAAAATTGCCTAGGCACTTTAAACTAAAAAGAAAAGGAAAATTCATCTCTCCTAGCTTCCCAACTGATATCCAAGGAAGAGCAAAGTCAGGTAATATTTCCTTAAGGCTTTTGTTTTCCAGAAGGCAAGGTACCAAAATCCAAGGCAGAAAAGAAAAAAGGTTGGGCTGTCCCGTTAGCTCAGTTGGTTACAGTGTGCTGATAACGCCAAGGTCCAGAGTTCAATCCCTGTACTGGCCAACCACCAAAAAAATAAATAAATACAACAGAATAATTTGAGAAGAGAATTCAAATTTCTACATTGCTTTTTGCCATCTCCCATCACCTCCTTCTTTCCCCCAATTTTCTTCTTACCGAGAAGTAAACATGCCGCACCCCTGCCTAAGAGAGACACAACTCCTTGCTCCTCTTTTCTATAGTCAGAAACGATAACAAGAAAGTTCAAAAAAGCATTCTGACCAAAGGGATGCTGGGTATCTTTCTGTGCTCATGTGCTCTCTCGACTGTGACAACTAAAAACCCAACCCAACCCATCTTAATGGTGGCAGAAGAGCAGTTACCTTTGTACGCACGTGTGCTGCACAGCACTAATGTTTTTTACTCGCACTGAAAACATTAAGCAACAAATGAAGTTTCCTTAACCTTTCTCTACTGGATTTTCTGTCTGTAATTTCTGTGTGTCTTTGTTTTTGTTTTTGGCAGCTGGACAGTACCAGGATCCAAACCCTTAACCTTGGTGTTACAACACTGTGTTCTAACCAACTGAGCAACCGGCCAGCCCACAGTCTGTACTTTTTTATGACCCAAATCACCCACAACATTAATCTGCTGACAGAAAAAATTTTAATGCTACCATTATTGTAGCACAGTAATAATAAACATTCATTTTCAGAGCAGTACCTTGCATTTTACCAGTAGACAAATAACCATCACTCATGTGATGCAACCATTATTTCCCGGGGGGCACGCTTTGGGTCCTTCTAAGTTCTCCAAGAATATTTATCACTTGCTTCCATGAGAACCACTTCTCTCTGGGGATTTTCTGTTCTCTATATTTTCAACATAATTGCAACAGAAAAATTCTCAGCCTTTATTTAGAAGGGCAGAGCCTTATGTAACATTGATCATCTACGGTATGATATCTCCTATGTCTACAACTATGGCCTATTTTTAAAGATTTTCTACATATACTTCTGAACTTACGATTAATTTAATGTCACCTCATTTATCACAGGATTCTGCTCCCTCTGCATATTGTGATTTCTCTGTAAGCTATCGTGCCACTGAGTCTTTCTTTCAATGGGTTTTTAATGACAATAGTTAAAATTTAAGGAAAGCTGTCACCTAAGCATGTGAGAAGAGTTTGAAAAAGTAATAATCTGTCAAAGAACAGGAAAAATAATGGTGACACAGCACAATTCTGTCAGAAAAGGTTGCTGTTGGAATCCAAATTCTGATTTTTCTATTGTTATTTCCCTTCCTCTGAAAATGTCTTAGCCCTAGGAGAATTTTAAATACCAATCCTTCCCCCCTCTCCCCTTCCAGTTCAATTGAAAAAAATGCCTCTTTATCACACATCGTACAATCTTCCAAAAAGCTTAAAGTGCATTAAAAGGGCAGTCACACACTATAGCTGAGTGAAGCAGGCAACTAAGGAGAAAACACTCTCAGTACAGACCCTCTGTAAAAGGGAGTCAAATATGAGTGCTGGGGACTGCAGCAAACTGGAAATATGCTGAAACCAACAGGATCCTGAGAAATTCAGAAATCCAATATCCCAAAGAGTCTTTGGAAGTGGTCTTAATATATTCGCTTTAAAAGTAGCACACACACACAAAATAAATAAAAGTGTCACAATACAATTGTACTTTCATCACTTGCTGATATTAGGATTAACAGAATAGTGTGTTAAAAATACATATTATTTTGTATTCTTTGTGCATGTATAAGTAAATTGGGCAGTTCATTCTGATACTACCAGACAAGTCTTCAGTAAGGGCAAACAATAAAAGTAACTGAATAGAGGTAGCTCAAAACACCAGCTAAGGATGATGTTAAAGGGTTTTTTAGGAAGGAAAGGGAAGGGAAAAGATAAAACAGAAGAGACCTCGTTAAAGATTTTACACTATCAAAAGGAAAACAAAGATGAAAGGGTGTGATTAATCCAAGCTCTGGTTGAAATACTTTAGGCTCCCGGTTGTCTTCCAAATGGGAAACAATACTATTGCATACAAAGCAGAAGATTAGTGTCCTGCTACCATCAATTAAAAAGTATAAATTCTTTAAAAAAAAAATCTAATATAACATTTTGAATGAATAATATTTTAACACACATACAAAAATACACAATTATCTAGATGTCACTACTATGGCAAGAACTCACATTTCATATAAGGAAGTGGTTCTCATGCCTAGATATACTCAATTCACAAATAACTATCAAAAGCTTACTTCTATAAGCATTACAATATTTCATAATTCCTAAGCACAATAAATGCAAAAAGGTGGTCATCTGCAGTACCCTGAACGGGCTCTGAATCACCTGAATAGATGCTGGGGGTGGCCAAGCCTCTTATTAAATCTAGCTTTCAAAAGTTTGAAGGGCTCCAGAATAGATGGATGACCTTCAGGTCCTTTTCAACACTGACACTATGAGAGTGGAAACAGCTAACCCAGAAGTCAATAGTGAGGTTAATACAAAAAGCAGTAGTTACAGCTATTTGTCACAACCCCTACCCTACTGCTGGACAATAAAATTCAATCTATGACCTATTAAACCTCATCTGATGTAAATGATTAAGAGAATGTGCTTAATAGGCAAAATCTGGTGCAATTTTAAATACATATTGCTTTGCTTTCCAGGCTAATCAAAAATGTTGCTAGAGAATAAATACATGACCTGGTGCATTCCTGTGGAAAACACTGAGCTTGGTCAACATTCTCTTTGAGGAGTCATGACAAATAGCTCCCCCAAATTTTTAGTGCTTTTGTTCTTCTATAGAAGGGGATCATTCTCTTTTTATAAGTAAAATACAATTTTTTATGCAGCCAGAAAAATATTAATACCGAAACACTGTTGAGATCATAGGAGAGATGTTATAAATCTCTAAAAATTAGCCTCACATGGGGAAAACTTCCATACTGTGTTTTTACTTATGTAAATATTATGTATGGTATGTAATACTTTTACTTATCCATATATGAATACATTTTACATAAACATACATTCAAAGGGTTCTGCAAACTATTGCACATAATAAAATGTAATAAGCAGATTACAGTTTACTATTCTTTTGTTCGTTTAGTGAATATTTACTGAGGGTTTACCATAATGCCAGGCATTAGGGACAAACTAGGGGGAAAACCAGAAATGATCCCTGTCCTTGGGAATCTCAAAATCACTTGGAAATACAAATCCAAGTCTTGTAAAACTACAAAGGAGAAACAAAATTGCAAAACTAAATGATAAATTAACAGTGATTATTCACATGGCCAGAATCTTCTTTCCAAATGATTCATCCAACTTTTTTTTTTTAGGCTGGAGGGTATGGTAATCTGAACCCTTCACCTTGGTGTTATAACACCACGCTGTAACCAACTGAGCTAACCAGCCAGCCCCCTCATCCAACTTTGTGATCAGTCCTCCTCAACTCATTCCTCTCACATCCCACATCTAATCCATCAGTAAATCCTGTTATCTCTACCTCTGAAACACAGCCAGAGCTGCATCACTTACAACTTCCATTACTACTGAAGTGGTCCGAGACACCATCTTCTCTCACCTGGTCTCCCAAAGATGTGAGTCTCCCATATCCTAATCCCCAAAACCTGTGAGTACGTTACTTTACATAGCACAAGGAATTCTGCAAGTGTGATTAAATTAAGAACCTTGAGATGGGGAGATTATCCTGGATTACCTGGTTGGGCCCAATATAATCAGAGGTGTCTTTATAAGAGGGACACAGGAGTATCAGAGAAGGGATGATTTGAAGATGTTATGCTGCTGGCTTTGAAGATGAAGGAAGTGGTCAGGAGCCAACGAATGCAGGCAGCCTCTAGAAGCTGGAAAAGGCAATGTATTCTTCCATAGCACCTCCAGAACACAACACTACTGACACTTTGATTTTAGCCTAGTGAGTTTTCTGATGTACACAATATAAAACAATAAATTTTTTTTTCAAGCCAGTAAATTTGCTGTAGTGTATTACAGTAGCAATGAGAAACTAATTCAACCTCCTAATTAATATCTCTGCTTCCCTTTTCTCTCTTTCCTTTTAGCCTCAAAGCAGTAATCCCAAGGTATTCTTTTAAAATATACACCACGTGAAGTCACCCTTCTGCTCAAAACCTTCCAGTGGTTTCCAATCTCAGGCAGTTTGAACTCCAAAGTCCATATAAGAACCTTCACCTCTCCGACCTCATTTCCCACTTTCCCCTAGGGTTGATTCCAACCACACTGCTTCCCTTGCAGTCCCTCTATTAATTCTGGCCTGTTCCAGCCTTGGATCTTTTCCCCCTGCCTCAATCACCCCCACCCCCACGCTCCCTCTATTAATTCTGGCCTGTTCCAGCCTTGGATCTTTTCCCCCTGCCTCAATCACCCCCACCCCCACGCTCACATCCTTGAGGTCTTTTCTTAAATGTTACCTTCTCAGGAAGACTTACCCTGAACATTCCATCCAAAATCGCAACCCCCACCCCAACACTCCCTTATCCCTTCCCTCTCTTTAAAGTTTTCCCTTAGCATTTATCACCGAACACAAAACATAGCTTATTTATGTTTACTGCCCATTTCCAAGAAAGCTTGAATTTCTGTGATGTTCACTGCTGCATCCCCAGCAGCTAGGACAGTGCCTGCCACATATTAGGCACTTAAATATTTGTTGAATGAATCACACCTGATTCTCTTGCCAAAGGCCGAGAAGCGATTGTTGAATGAATCAGTGAATCAGGTGAGGACTCTTACAACGGTAAAGCTGTGATTAAAACAAAAAATGAAGTAGAAAAAAAAAACAACAAAAACCTAAAACCGCTAAAGATTTACAGGGTAAATGTAATTCTCTTAAACCCTGGCTACATTTAAGCGCAGATTTTGGAAGGGAATTAAAACCACATGACTGTATCAAAAATAAAAAATATTCCGGAGACACAAAAAAAAACAGTAAACTTTTTTTTCAATGAAGAACGCAACGCACAAAAATGCAGTTCTTCGACGTTTCTTCCCAAAACGTTCGAACCTGCCAAACAGGTCGTGGCAAATAAGTATTTTGCCTTTCTTTAAAAAAAAAAAAAAAAAAAAAAAAAAAAAAAAAAAAAAAAATGGGTTTTT